TCGGTCAGGTAGCTGTGCCGAAAAAGTAAACAAGAGAGAGAGAGAGAGAGAGAGCGCGAAACTCCTTCGGAAGGACCAATGTCTATTGAAGGGCGGTATTATAAATATTTGGAGCAATTGACGAATGATCTCGGTTTCAAGAGATATCACACTTGTTCCCGCCCATGTATTAATTTCTACTTATATTTTCTCTCAACGCTACAACTGTTCATTGAATAAATGTGTAGTATACATATATGTAACATATGCTTATTAAATAAAATTGTTAAACATCTGAGATATTGAATACGGTGGTTCTGGTGGAAAAACATCGTGGCTCACGATGTTTCGAAAACGTCGCCGGATTGACCAGAAAATACGGGTCCGGCCATAAAAAAAAGGTCTAGCAGGTACTCAGCGGGTGGTCTACCCGGATTTTCGCGCTAGTCTGCAGAACAAGCCGGCGGGCCCTTCTGAAGCCCCCGTGCTTTTACATGGGTTTCCCTATACTTTCAATTTTCTCCTACGGTACTGTAGGCTCCGCCGGGGCATCTCTCGAGTCAAAAATTTCACCCCCTTCCACGTAGTATTCTCACTACGGCTACGGTAATGGGAACAGGCCTTAAACCGTACAGAAGTCTCACAACACGCGGCCATTATACGTTACGCACAGCGTTGAGATATTTTTTCCCTCGAGGCTCGCTTCTCCTGTTTTTCGCCCGTATTTCGATCCCCACTACTATTCCCCTCATGCGCGTTCGCGAAGCTCTCCGCAGCGCTACCTGCATAACATATGCATATGCATTAACATGTTAATGATAAAGATTAATCTTTAAAATCACTGCATACCCCCACCAACTATTGGTCCCCACCATGGTCGCGTCGTCCCCACTTTCCAGCCGAGGGAAAAAATATCTCAACGCTGGTTACGCATGCGCATCGTACATGTACGTTATGAATGAAATAGAGTCGTTATATTCAACAGCGACCAATTTTATACGATTGTATGCAAATATCTTAGCTTCTAGCGTGACGACTCAGTCAAAATTTTAGAGGAATATTCAGAAAGGATCTATCAAAGTATCTGCAATGTTTAATTAAGATATTTTCACGGGTTTAATTATTATAATCATGAAACTGAATAGTAGAACGATTGACTGTTTCTTGATAGGCACTTGTAGATTCAAATTACCATAACTGTGCTTATAGTAGTTAGAAGTGAATGAAATTTATAAGAAACCTTCAAAAAGGTCCTACCTAAGTGTCTCTAAAATTTTATTAAGATATCTTCATCGGTTCATTAATAATAATGCAAAGTCCAAGTAGTTAACAGTTATTCAGGTTTTAATTGAAACTCCTCAATTAAAATTGTAATAACTTTCGTTCTGATCATCGGAATTGAATGAAATGTATAAGGAATCTCCAAAAGGATCCTAACTATGTATCTGACAAATTTTATTAAAATATCTCTACTGGTTCGTTCAATGTAATAAAAAAAAACAAGCGCGAAGCGATAAGACAAATGACTGTCGCCCCTAACGGCAGCAACTTCGCACGCCACGGGACCCGAACAAACATTTCGTCGACAACAGAAACATCTCGAGTTTATTAGAAAGGTAATTTTTAATAATCATAAAATAATTCAATTTTAAAAACAATTACGACCGCGAATAAATTCAGACTTCGACCGCGTCGACTCCCCCGTTCAAATCTTTCAACCACATCGAATTATTAATTCATTTGTACGCAATTATTTATTTATATTATTAATTAGTGAAATGTAATTT